TAAAAATTTATTTTTTAATTAATAGTTTTAAAAATTAATTGTTAATTAAAAATTTTATTTATATAAATCATATATACCAATTTTTAAATTATTAATTTAATTAATAGGTCTAACTATTTCATTAATTACAAAAAATTTAACATTATTAAATATATATCAATAAATAAAAAATTTTTTATCAAAGAGTTAAGCATTAAATTAATATAAAAATTGGTGTATATAATTTGTATGCATAAAATTTTTAATTTAATAAGTAATTTTTAAAAAATATTAATTAAAATATAAATTTTTAATAAATTCTTTAAAAAATATTTTAAAAAGATAAGATGCCTTACAATATCTCTTAACTTATTCCCAATGAAAAAACAAAACCCACAGTCGGGAACATGCTATATATAGAACAAAAAAGGCCCACTATCGTCAGAGTTCCAATGTCACAATCAAATTCCACAAACATATGCAAAATTTGAATAACCACTAGACCAAGAGTGTAAGTAATAGGCTAATTAGATCTTAGATCAATTGCTTAAAACCCTAAAAATTAAGACTGCTTCACAATTTTGAGGTTGCAGACACTATGCAATTTTTGAGGGTTTTTTTTTTAAAAAAAATTTTTTAAATAAAGCAAAGTAAAAGCTATACATATGATCTTCAATATTATTCTCTCTATAGATGATCATTTGCTGTTTCGCGCATTGATGATAGCGATATAAAACTAACTAAATATTGAATTAATTAAAAACCCAAATTTTAGATTATAAAGTAAGAATTTATGAATATTTATGCATCAAATTAAGCCTTAATGAAGAGAAGATAACAATAAACTCAGAGAAAATCTATGTTCACAGCTACATGCATGAACATAAATTGCAACCCTCGCTTATATATTATTACATTTGTCTATCTAGTGGATCGTACAATATATAGTATATATATGATGACTAATACAATTAATTTACAAGAGAAAATATTGATGAATTATCACCTCATGAATCTTTCCACAATTTTGTACGTACATATAATATATATATATATATATATCTCATGTACTTTAAGGTTGGACCCTTTTAGTGAAAGTAATTCCCCGCGTCGCACCCCTGGATGTAAGTGCATTGTACGTTTGGCTAAATTTTGTTGAAATTTCAGCACTACTAGGAGCAACTTATATTGTTTGGAGAGAAACAATAGGGTACACAGAATGCGTGCCCTTCTGCCCTAGCTTGAACGAGAGGCCAACACAGCTACCGGAAGAGGAGGAGGGGCACAGGGGAAGACTGGGTAAATTCATGTTCCCTACATGCATCGTTGGACGTATCTTTCTGCTTTCCTTCATCTTCAACATTAGCAACCAAAGGAGGTGGAATGTTTATGGTGAGATCTAGGTTTAGATCGGGGAGAGACGGCTCGTGTGGGAGGCAATTTCCAGCGTCGGATACATGGTAATTGTCTCGGCTATGAGATTTGACCAATGGATGATTGTTATTGGGTGGATTAATTTTTGGAGCAGAGGAGGTTGCACTGGTGGAAATGGAACCATGTGGGTTTTTAGGGGGAGCGAAAGTGTGAGTCGTCAAGCGGTGATTATTTGGATCAATACCCATGTTTATAAGCTTTCTCCTCAGATGAGAGTTCCAGTAATTCTTCACTTCATTGTCTGTACGGCCAGGCAATCTCCCAGCTATTAGCGACCACCTAAAAACATTTTCCCACTAATTAATTTAGATACATTTGTTCAATTCGTAAATAAAAATGAAATAATTGAATAGATTAATTGATGACATCCATTCTTCTCAAATATTTAGGCTAACAATAATACAAAGAAGTAATTCATCTAACCAAAAAAAAGGAAGTAATAATTAAAAGAGAATCATACCGATTTCCTAAGAGTGCATGAAGCTTGATGATGAGATCTTCTTCATCTTCAGCAAAGTTGCCCCTTTTAAGGTCCGGCCGCAGATAGTTTATCCACCTAAGCCTACAACTCTTACCGCAGCGAAGGAGGCCTGATCACCAATTGTCAATGCAATATAAAATAATCAGTCTTAATTATTAAACCAAAACGAGCGTTCATTAGTGAGTTGGTATATATCCGCTTTAAAGGGTTGAAGTTCCGTTAGTATTTTGATTTTTGCCCGTCTAAAAAACTTTAATCATGGGGTTATATCAGTAATAAGGTAAGATGTGCATCAATTTTTTTAAAATATAATCTAAGCACTAATTTTCTTTATGATTTCTGATTCAAACTAATGTTGATAATAAACAGACCAGCTAATGGAAGAATTACGGGATTTCTTCTTGTTCTATTAGTAAAGCAAGAAGAATATTAGATGTTAATTAAATGTTTTATTTCTTCAATCTCTTTGTTTTCATTTTCATGCAAGGTAGTTCTTGGTGGACCAGAATAACGTTATACATACCCGCGGCCTTGGGGAGAGTTCGCCAGCAGCCTTCGCCGTGTTTGCGAATGTATTCAATAAGCTTCTCGTCTTCCTGCTTGGACCATGCCCCTTTGTTGGTGTCTTGCTTATCACAACAAGGCTTCCTCATGTCCCAATAACCTTACCAAAAGCCCCAGAAATGGAATAGCCAGTAGTGGTCCTACTTTTTTCCAGAAAGAGAACGAGGAAGAGTTAGCCAAGAAAAACACAATTGGGCAGGGCGGAGCGGAAAGCAGTTGAGAGGTATATATTAGGGAGGGGTTGTTGTGCGGATATAGGGAGAAGAAAGGTTGACTTGACCGGCGGGTTTGATCATGCTCGTGACTGCGTCGGTGTGCCCTTGCACTGCTTGAGAAAGAGGGTGGCAGAAGTTTGACAATTTTTGGGTGTTAGTTAAGTTGCCGTTTAGTATAAGTCCTTGTCTTTCATTAACAGTCACTTGCATGCTTTTTAATTAATTTCACCATTCTTTTTTTTTTATTATTTTATTTTCATCCAACATATGCTTTCTATTTTTAAATCTCGTAGGCTAGCTGCAGCTAGAGAGATGCCAATGCAATCTTAGATCACAGTAAAATTTTACAATTTACATATGTCAATAGAATAAATCCTATTGCTATCCTTCGAAAATTAACCAATAAAGTGAATAGATAATTAAATTTTTTTGACCCGTTAACTAAGTCATTTGTTTCAATTAAACCTCCTATTAACTTTCTTCTCAAGAAAATTAACCCCTAAATTTAAATTCCACACACAATTTAAAGCCGGTTATTTATTGCACAACCGTGGCAAAGGAAAAAATAGAACTTTTCCTCAATTCTGTTTTTGGATATGTTATTTTGTTGATTAATTCATGTATTTTATCCCTAATTCTATAGTATGATGTAGAAGCGAAATGCTAAGCGCACTTGGCAACTTGCCAATTGCTTTATTTCTTGAAAAAAAAAAATTAAAAGGGGCACCATTTCTCCTATATAGAAAGCAAAGAAAAGTAATGGTTGGAATAAACAAAATACCCAATTAAGGAAAGAATTCACAGAGCACTGGAAGTAGTTCAAATCAACATGACAACATTCACATTAGATAAGGGAGTTAAAAATATATATTAATTGAAAATAAGTTATTACATGTGATTAGGTAACTTTTTCTTGTAACTTTTATCTTAAACACAATGTTTATGCAATAAAGGTGCTTATTTGATATTAAATTAACTTTGAAGAGCTTTTTGAGATGAAAGTGAGTGATGGGGCTTGATTAAAACAATTGAATAGGGGATAATCTTAGGCTTATTCCCCAATTTTATAATGTTCCAGCTATTAATTAGCTTCAGCCTTTGCATAACTACTGATTATTGCTAAGTAAATGGAGACAAAAGCTCTTAATCCAAATTCGTTGGGGGACTGGTGAAAGCATATACCTATTTTGAGTGTAGACAATGAATGAGTCGATAATTATTAACATGCATGTGATGCAATTACTAAAGCAATGGAAACGAGATATTTGACGGTGAAGACACCTTAATTTCTTCATTTAAGGCTAGTAGTCTTACATATGAGATAAAGTTACAAACAAAATTAATAACAAGAAGTGGAGCCTAAAATTGATCTTAATATTAGCTGAAGGGCTAAGATAATAATCGAAAGTTATAGTAATATCTATCGACACCTTCAATATTGATCGATCTTCCAACATTTAAAGTTTGAAATTAGTAAGCTGGATGTTTCATATATATTCAAACTATGAAAAGCAACATGCATTAACCATAAAATTAAAACAAAAAAAAAAAAGAGGTCAAATGATAATTGATTTAGTAATAATATTCTTCTAGTATTGAAAATAAAAAAATTTTCAGTACAAGTGAGATAGCATGTCAACGGAATGAGTTAAAAGAAAAAAAATATTATTTTCCATTATGTAGTTCAAAATAATAATAATAATAATAATAATAATAATAATAATAATAAGTTAGATATGAAATTCCTAAGGTTCCTAGCTTTAGCATGACAATCCTAATGCTTGCATTTCTTGGATTGGGTTGTTAGAGCTGGAAATACTATTTATATATGTGGTTTGGAGTACTTTCTGTTAAAAGCAACTTATTTGTTTGCCATTTTTCCCATACCAATACAAATTTGTTTACCATTTAAAAAAGAAGAAGAAGAAGAAGAAGAAGTATTGAATACTGAATAAAAGAAAGTCTTAAATGAACCAAATGAACAAAGAGGCTAAAGCCTATATGTATGTTTCTTGCATATACCGTGCTTTTGTGGTGTAAATTTTTAGGTATTAAACGCTAAAGACTCTAACTCCAAAGATTATATTCACTAATAAGTAAATATGATTTTGTAAGTCAATTTTAAAATTTAAGTTTTAGAGATAGTTATTAAAAAAAATTAACTTAGAGACAACCTAACTGTAAATATTAAAATATGAAAAATGTTCAAGACTCTAGCGTGGACCACCTTCTCTATAAATCTTATCGTTTAATTGTGTATCCATGTCAGTTGGATAACAAGAATGGATAAGGAGAAAATGCACGCACATCCTCTTATCCTATGTTTGGACTTTCAGAGCTTGGACCGATTGATGAACATGTGATCCTCGTGCTTTTCTTTGTAGCTTATGAATTCCTTCATTCAAAAGAAAGATGGATGTGTTTGAGGCTCAGACAGACAGAGAATTAAAAAATAAAATAAAACTAAAAATATGAATTTTAAGAAACGAATTTAATTTAACTGGTTCGCGTAACTAATTTGTGTATGGTTATGGGTACATGGATATTGGTAGGTGAATGA